GTTGGCTCAAGTCAAGGTGGCCTGAGTGAACATCCCAGAGACCCCAAGTCACATATCATGAGACCCCAGGAGGTGAGGAGCCTATGCTCCAAAGAGAACAGGCCCTGTTGCCCACACATCCCAGGCAGACCTCCCAGGTTGGGAGGCTGTGGTGCCATGGCCCCCTCACCTGGAGCACCACCTGTAGATGATGGGACAAGCCCAGAGGCACCTCAGTGGCCCTCACATCCTACCCTTGTGCTGAGGGCCCCTCAGCCTCTGGCTGACAGCTCCATCGGGACCCAGTGAGGGTTGACAGAAGTTGCTGTTTTATCAAGGTTAGAGGTTGACAGAGAACCCCCCCCCCCAATACTGTCAGGCCTTAACCACCCCTCCCAAGCCTATACCTGGGGTTGGGAAGAAGGAGGACCGCCTTCTTTGAAAATACAGAAAACTCAGAATCCAAGTTGGAGCTTAAGTTTGGAAGGATGTTCGGTTATGAACTAGCTCAGGGCCCGCCTGAGGATGGCACCAGCGCCTCCAGAGCTGTCAGGACCAGGACCTAGGCAGAAGGTGCCCTGAGCCCTAACTAATCCCTGTGTGTCTCTTACCCACTTCTGTCACATAGCCCCCAGCCTGACACCCAAGCCCCAGGGCTTAACAGCTGGCCATCAGCTATCCTTGCCCACCCTACTGTGACAACCAGGCCTCCCCAGGATTCCCTCCTGGTAAGGTGTCCTCCTGGGAGCTTGGCTCCCTGAAGAAATCAACCCAAACAGACCAATGTCAGCACCCTTCCCTCCCAGTGGAAGAAAACAAGTGGATGACGGCAGGACCCCAAGAGGGGCACAGAAGCCTCTTCCTTAGAGTACACAGAGGGGCTGACCCCACAGCCTTAGAGCCTCAGGATGAGGGAACAACTTACCAACCTAGGGAGTGACAGTAAACCAAGGCAGGTGGGGGACACCATACTATCAGAAGCACTTAATTGCCTTAATTCCATCCTGGGGAAAGATCTGCACAGCAGCGGCTAGGCTGAAGCTGGGGGCACGCAAGGGAATGGCCCAGCCTCCAACCCAGAGTGGACCGAGTGTCCAGGCCTGCCCCGAGCAAGCAGAGATGCAGGCGGTGGGTCTACATGCATGTCCCACAGCACGGCTTCTCTGAAACCACAGTATTTTCACATCACAAAGCAAAGGGCCAACTCCCTTACATAGTCTTGTTTCAGAAAGTCTTGGCAATTCAAGAATATTTAGTAGAGAAGTGGTATTAAAAAACAAAACAAAATAAACCAAACAAACACAAAATGCCCTGATGCAGACCCTGGGTGGCCTGCCCAGGACCAGGAGGACTATGAACCTTTCCAGAACATGGGGACACCTGGACGCTGTCTCCTGGGCACAACTATATACCTTCCTGGGAAAGTCATGTTCTCACTGGAAAAGGAACTCAGTAACGGACCTAGGCTGTCCTGTTAATACAATGTCACTGTGCACCTGGCTGGAGAATGCTGGGAATGGGTCATGGACCCGCAGTACTCAGAGGTCATTGTCCTTCTCTCCTGCCTTTCTGCATGGAGAATCTAGAGACAGCAAAAGCCACAGACACTGGCTGATGGCTGGATAGGCCAGAAGTGGGGGCTGTCAACATGCCAAGGTTCCCTAGCAGGGTCCCAATACCTTGTTTGAAAATTGCATCCAGGCAGGTTGCTTATAACTGCATTAAGGCCATTTTTAAAAAAAGTTCTACATACAAGTCTAATGGTAATCAAACTCTCCTATGTACATGTAGTTTTTCTTTTAAAAAAGAAATTGTCCCCACTCTTTGCCGCCCATCCTGTTGTGGTAAGGGCTTTTGACCTGGACAGACCAACCCGTCCCTCTCTCTCAGCCCAGAACAGCAGATAGCAGTGGGAGCAATGTGGCCTAAGGGGAGCCTTCTCATGTGAGGGGCCACTCCAGCATGTGCTAACAGTGTCTGGGGGAAAGAGAGGAAGGGATGGTCGCTAGGATCAAATCTGGCTCTCGAGGACAGAGGAGATCTGCGACACCACAAATAAATGCACCACGAGGAAGATGCCAGCCCAGCAGGCAGAGGAGCCAGCAAGAAGGACAAGATGCGATCTGGGAGAGATTAGAACAGTCATTTCTATTCCACAGCAGCCAACAGAAAACCAAGCCAGCTCCAATGCCTCCCTGGCAAGGCCTCTAGTGTGGAGGGTCTGAGATGACCCCCAGATGCCTTGTCACCCCAGCCTTTGAGATGCTTCTGGAACCTGCCACTAGAACAGACTGCTGTCTTCCTCCAGGTCCACCTGCAACACCTCTGAGCTGCCAAGGAGCAACTGGCAGCCAACTCTGCCCACTGAGAGGGGTGTGGGCTGGGACCAGGTCAGGTGTGGAGGAGAGGAAATGCCAGCTCTGTCCGGGTTCTCAGGGTGGACCACTATGAGGACAGTCTCATCTCAGGGGACCAGCCTCAATAACGTGGAGCACATAGGCTTCTCTGAACACTGGTGGGCACCTTCTGAGAGCTACAGGGTTTTCAAAAGACCTTCAATAATAGTAGAGGCTCTTTCCCAGAAGCCTCTTATGCATGAGCAGAGGCACCTCTGGCTACTACAAGCTCCTGCCAAGTCCCAGGGCCCAACCAGCCCTTAAGTGGCCCTTTGGTTTTATGGTTAACTTGGGATGAAACTCAAAAGGCCAGAGACTCAGCAGGCAGCAGACTGCTTTCGGGTGCATTGCCTCCAATTCCAGTTAGCTTAAAAAATAGATAACATAGGATTTCTGGAATAAAAACATGCTCTCAGGCAAGTGTTGGCTTGAAGGATTCAGCTACTCATCTATAACCAAAATATAAATACAAACCAAAAGAAAAAAAAAAACACAACAAAATTTCCCCACCCCACCCCCCATACCTTAAATAATAGTAGGTATTTGTAACAGTACCGGTGAGCACAGTGCAGGGGATGGGAGAGGAAAAGAGATTTAACCCCCCTACCCCGCCCTGGGAATCCCTGCTGTGGTTACCCCTCCAAGCCCATCTGTCCTGGCTGGGTGTTCCATGGCAAGGATGGCCACCAATGCACCTGCCTAGAGGTGAGGCAGGGCTGGAGTAATGGAAATGGGGCAAGGAGGGGGCCTAACGGAGAATAGCTGCATCTCATGCTCTGTTCACTTTGCATCTGTCAGGGTGGATTCTAGCGCTCTGTATGTGCTCAGAAATGTAAAAGACAGCCGTCAAAATAGTGTTTATTTTACTTTGCGTCCACCCCTCGCTCTAACGCCTTCTCCCTTGAACAGGGTAGGTCTCACTCTCTGCCTAACGACGAGCTGGGGGTGGCAGGTGGAGAGGGGTACCAGGGACCAAGAAAGGCAGTGAGAGCTGGACAACAGTCGGAAAATGCACCGCGAAAAACCACGCGCGCCCCTCCCCCAAGCCTGCCCGCCTGCTTCGCCCTGCAGAATAGCTCATACCCCACTGTGGGGGATGAAGGAGCCACTGCAGGGAGGGTCTTGTGGTGGTGGGGATCTCACAGCCTCCGATCCCAG